TCTTGATAGGGTCCTGTGGAATTACCAGATCTTGATAATTAATGTCAAATTGGCTTCTAGGTAGATTCTTCAAGTTTACACTCCTACCATCATTGCTGTCTCTTATACACATCTAGATGTGTATAAGAGACAGTAGCTACACTGTATGAAAAGCATTCTTTCCTAGACTAGTACTTTCTAAATTCAGATGAAGTATCTGAACTATCCCAGGAACTTGAGACATGCATGCAGTCCCTAATATTAATTGCTTGAAGAGATACCAGCCAGTAGCAGCCAGCTTGCCTTGCTTAGAGAATCTTGAGGGACATTTGTCTACTGATAACATACCCATTTTGTGTGTTTTTCTTCAGGTGATGCAGACAGAAAGCATTGTAAATTTAAGCCTGATCCCAATATCCCTCCAACCTTCAGTGCCTTCAATGAAGATTATGTTGGAAGTGGGTGGTCACGAGGACACATGGCTCCAGCAGGAAATAACAAATTTTCAAGTGTAGGCATACTTTGGGGGAGGGATGGGAATATGGGGCTGATGTTATACATACAACAGGAATTAGAGATTAAAAACCTAGGAGCTAAACCTTAAAACTTGAGAATTTCCATACTCTTATTTTTCTTCCTGACTTTATTTCTCTTCTTTCAATCACATGCTGAGACATTTTTAAACAGGTTGAATGAGGAAAACTAAGTGGTATATGAAGGGAACTGGAAAGCCACTGGGAGCTGAAGCTACTCACTTTTTTTTTTTTTTTTTTTTGAGACGGAGTCTCACTCACTCGGTTGCCCAGCTCAGAACACAGTGGCTTGATCTCGGTGCACTGCAACCTCTGCCTCCCAGGTTCAAGCAATTCTTGTGCCTCAGCCTCCTGAGTAGCTGGGATTACAGGTGTGTATCACCATGCTCAGCTAATTTTTGTTTGTTTGTTTATTTATTTTTTGAGATGGAGTCTTTCTCTCTCTTGCCCAGGCTGGAGTGCAATGGCACGATCTCAGCTCACTGCAAACTCTGCCTCCCGGGTTCAAGTGATTCTTCTGCCTCAGCCTCCCAAGTAGCTGGGATTACAGGTGCCCGCCACCACACCCAGCTAATTTTTGTATTTTTAGTAGAGACGGGGGGTTTTGCCACGTTGGCCAGGCTGGTCTCAAACTCCTGACCTCAGGTGATCCACACACCTCGGCCTCCCAAAGTGCTGGGATTACAGGCGTGAGCCACTGTGCTCGGCTACTCACTTATTTTTAATTAGTTAATTAGAGACAGAGTCTCGCTTTGATGCCCAGGCTGAAGTACAGTGGTGGAATCATAGCTCAATATAGTCTTGAACTCCTAGGCTTATATGGTTCTCTTTCCTCAGCTTCCCAAGTAACTAGGACTACAGTCATGTGCCACCATGCATGGCTAATTTATTTTGAAAAATGCTTTTAATTTGCAGAAAATTTGTAGAAATTCATAGAAAAGGTGAAAAAATAATACAACAAACATATTGATACATTTACGTATACATAGGTAAATTCTGCAACCATTGACAAAGTTGCAGACATAATGTTTTATTTCTAAATAGATTGCTCAGGAGTATGCATCATCTAAGAATAAGGATGTTTGTATATATGAATATAATATATATAAATACAAGTATATCAAGAAGTGTATACTAATACATTTTTATGTATTTGTGCAGTAATATTATCTAAAATACAATGTATAGTCAGCTTTCCCACATGGTCCTAATTATGTCCTTTATAGCTTTTCTGATTCAGTATTCAATCATGAATCATGCATTATATTTAGTTATCATATTTCTTTAGTCTTCTTTAATCTAGAATGCTTTTCCTGCCAAAAAGTGGAGGAGTATCTTTCATGATATTGACATTTGTTGTGTGAACTATTGGTAATTATGTCATTAAGATAGTAATTCTCTACCTTGGACACTCATTATAATCACCTGGAGAAGTTTTCACAATCCTGATGCCCAGATCTGAACCTCATACTTATAAAATTGGAATATCTCAGGGATGAGACCCAGGCATCAATGTCAATATTTTTAAAGCTTCCAAGATTTTTCCAGTGTGCACCCAAGATTGAGAGTGACTGCTTGAAGAGAAGGTACTTGTAGCATTGGCAGTTAGTATAGATCAGTGAAGAAATTACAGTGAGGTAGAGCCTTGGGTATTTGGATCAGAAATGTGAAGTGAATGAACACATAGTGGCCAGATATTCAGAAGAACAAGGACGTTTTCTCTGTCACTTTTGAACTAGTGTGTTTGTACTGTACTAAAATAACTTTTGTGAAAATTGATCTCTGTTGAGAAACTCTGCCAGAGGCTTAAAACCAGAATTTGCCCTTAAGCTTTGTGTTGGAAATATTTAGTTCTTAGAATTCACGTTATAGGTTTGGATTTTATCATTGATAAGCATAGCTAACTACTTACTTTGTAGTCCTCATTTTGAATAATTATTATAAGAGCTTTCTGTCCTGGAATAATTATGGCTTTCATTTATTGAAACAAGTAGTCAATAATTGCCTAGCACTAATGTATAAATAGGAAACTTTTTGTGTGTCTTTTTAATAAAATGTATTTTAAAGAGGAAACATTTCAGTGCAAGTTACTATGTTTCTTTCTTTACAGAAAGCCATGGCTGAAACCTTTTACCTTTCTAACATTGTGCCTCAGGATTTTGATAATAATTCTGGATATTGGAACAGGTGAGGGATGAGAGTTTTAAAAACATGATTCTGTGGAAGATAAATGAAGTGACAGGAGAATGTACTAATGTGCCTATTAGCTGTTTCTGTCTTTATTTTTCAAAAGCTAAGCCTCTGAAGGTAAGTACTTTGGGCCAGTTTTCTCTGCTGTATTTTGGGAGTACAATCTTCTACAGAAGATCAGACTTCAAAACATAGCCTGCTTTTTTGATCATGTTTGCCACTATTCAAAAGTCAAGTTTCAAAAGAAATGACTCAAAATAATAATCTTAGTAATTGAGGCAGCATCTTTTTTGAGTATGTTCAGTGAACACTATTATTTTCTCTTGTATTCCAATATTTCTTAGCTTCTTTAAAAAAACAGTTTTGTATTTCAAGAGCTCCTGAGCTTTAGGCCAGGGTCTGTGGTTCATGTTTATAGTCTCAGCATTTTGAGAGGCCGAGGCAGGAGGATTGCTTGAGCAGGAGTTGAGACTGACCTGGAACGTACTGAAGCCTTGTCTCTACTAAAAATTTAAAAAATGAACCAAGTGTGTTGGTCCATGCCTGTAATCCCAGCTACTCAGGAGGCTGAGGTGGAACAATCACTTGAGCCCAGGAGGTTGAGGCTATAGTGAGTGGTAATTGTGCCTCTGCACTCCAGCCTAGACAACACAGCAAGACCCTATCTCAAAAAAAAAAAAAAAAGTTCCTGAACTTGAAAAAAAGTTGGGGCATAGTTTAATATAACTATTAACCAGTTTTTTTTTTTTGTTTTTTTTTTCCCCTGAGGCAAAGTCTCACATTGTTGCCCGGGCTGGTGTGCAATGGCACGATCTCAGTTCGCTGTAACCTCCGCTTCCCGGGTTCAAGCGATTCTCCTGCCTCAGCCTGCCGAGTAGCTGGGATTACAGGCACACACCACCACACCCGGCTAATTTTTGTATTTTTAGCAGACATGGGGTTTCACTATGTTGGCCAGGCTAGTCTCGAACTGCTGACCTCGTGATTTGCCCACCTTGGCCTTCCAAAGTGCTGCGATTACAGGCATGAGCCACCACGCCTGACCACTATTAACCAGTTTTTGATAGAACCTAACTATAAAATAATCTGGGCCTTCTACATTTTTCTGACACTGTCAGGTGGTTTCTTTATGCATCTAAAACTAACAGTTTGAGGTTCTTTCAGGCTGTTGTGTTTTTCCCCATATAGTACTTTGTGGTTTAAAATAATGAAGAGAGCACCCTGCACCAACGAGAGACTTCAGCAGTTATCAGTCATGGCGACATTTGTTTCATCTACATACCATCACTTTGACACACTCAGATTATTTTTAGCAGATTACAGATATTTTATCCATAAATGTTTTGTTATATATATTTAGAATATAAGGATTCTTTTAAAATATAAACACAGTATTATTAATGCCCTTAAAGAATTTAACAGTAATTCTTTATTACCAATTTTATAGTCAGTTCAAATTTTCTTGGTTGTCTTTGATTTTTTGTTGTTGTTGGTTGGTTTGAATCAGGATTCAAACAAGATAGACACAAAAATTTGGTTGATATATCTCTTTAGTTCCTATTAATCTGTAAGTTTCCCTTTCTTTCCTCCCCGCCCCCCATTCAAATTATCTGTTGAAGATCTAGGATGTTTGTCCTAGAATTTCCTTTCCATATTCTGGATTTGCTGATTGCATACCTGTGGAAGCATTTAACATTTTCTTTTCCCAAGAGATAAATTTCTGGGAGGAAAACTTTACCTTGTAATTGGGCATATATATATGCTATTAAAAATAATTTAAAAAAATTTTTTTAAGGCCAGTCAAGTGAAGCAGTGGGAGTAGAGAAGGAACAAGGAAGTATATAACCGGTTGTGAACAATTAGTTGTAAACCACTGCACTTATACCAGCCTATAAAAATAATTGGATTTTACTTTTTGGATAAGAAACTGAGGAATGAGGAAATGCATTGTTATCTCTCATTTAGAAATCTCTTCCAACTGGGCCGGGCGCAGTGGCTCATGCCTGTAATGCCAGCACTTTGGGAAGCCGAGGTGGGCAGATCGCCTGAGGTCAGGAGTTAGAGACCAGTTTAGGCAACGTGGTGAAACCATGTGTCTACTAAAAATAAAAAAAAATTAGCCAGGTGTGATGGCACACACTTAAAATCTCGGCTACTCAGGAGGCTGAGGCAGGAGAATCGCTTAAACCCAGGAGACGGAGGTTGCAGTGAGCTGAGCCTTAGTGACAGAGTGAGTGAGACTCCGTCTCAAAAAAAAAAAAAAAAAAACAGGAGACGGAGGTTGCAGTGAGCTGAGCCTTAGTGACAGAGTGAGTGAGACTCCGTCTCAAAAAAAAAAAAAAAAAATCTTCCAACTGCAGTGTAAGAAAGTACATATTAAAACTACTTGCCATTTGGGCGCCTGTAATCCCAGCTACTCGGGAGATTGAGGCAGGAGAATCACTTGGACCCGGGAGGTTGAGGTTGCAGTGAGCTGAGATTGGACCATTGCACTCCAGCTTGAGCGGCAGAGTGAGACTCCATCTCAAAAAAAGAAAAAAGAAAAAAAAATACTTGCCATTTTTATCTGGTAAATTGACAAAAACAGTTTTTAAATGATAAATCCCAGCATTATAAAGATTGTTGTGAAACTGCTGTTGTATTTTGGAGCTTATAGAGTAAAGTGATATAGCCCTATTAAAAATGTTAGTTTTACATATGATGACGAGTTAAAATAAATACATTCAGTAATTCTGGTCCTTGAAATTTATCTGAAGGAATTGATACAGTGTTGCATTATTTAAGAAATGTTAACATAAGCCCAACTGTCCTGCAAGAGGAATGGTTAAATAAAGTATATCATCTTGTTGGAATGATATATAATTCCTGAAAGCTGGTTGGGAATTATGGCATAAGAAAAGTTTTAAGTTCATGAAATTTGAATTCCAGAATGTACTCTGAGTGCACATGAAGAAAAATGTAGACAGTTTTGTTAGTATATGTGATTTTTAAGGTTTTTCTGTGCAGTAAGCAAACTGGGAAAATAATTGTTTGTGTGCTTATAATGTTTTGTGCTATGTTCTTGTTAATTTCTCAAATGCAGTTTTTCTTGGTATCTTTCGTAGGTATTGATATGATTTGCTGCTATCTTACACGTATATATGTGAGAATATCATACTTTTTTTGATTTGTTTTTCAGAATAGAAATGTACTGTCGAGAACTGACAGAAAGGTTTGAAGATGTTTGGGTGGTATCTGGGCCTTTGACGTTACCTCAGACTAGAAGCGATGGAAAAAAAGTAGTTAGTTACCAGGTAAGGATGTTTAACAGTCAGGTTTATGTTATCTGTATGATATTATAATCTCACTTTGCATTCTGCTTTTTATTTTTATCATTTAAAAAATTTTGCATTCTACTTTTTAATTTCACTTATTCAACAATGTTTATTGAACACCTGTTAGGAGTGATAGGCGTAGAGCATATAGTGATGAATAAAAGCAACTATTGACTTCAAGGGACTCACAGTTTAGAGTGGAAGACAGATGTTAACAATTACATTAAAATGTGACATGCTGTAATAGAGATAAACACGGTGTGGTCTTGTGAAAGGACTGATGGGCTCTACTCATATGGGTCAGGAATGCTTAAAAGAGGAAGTGATATTGAGCTATACCTTGACAGTTAAGAGTCAGGAGTGGACCCTGAGGATTCCAGAGGTTGGAGCAGGATGAGCACAGGACATTTGTGGTCAACATCAGGGTTTTGGGATTTATATATCATTCATAAAGTTTGGAGCTTATGGTGCAAAACAGTGTGGGTGGCTCAAGGGGGATGAGGAGTTCTGTAACAACTGGTGGACGGGTGAGATAATACACGACTTTCTATTCTATGATGAAGACTTGATTTTTAATTTTTAGGCACTAAGAAGTCATAGATTTGTTTTAAGCCTGGGATAAATGTGATATTTGGGTTTTATAAAAAATATTCTGGCAGCAGCATGTAAAGAGATAGGTGGGAAAAGGGAGCATTTAAAGGAGAGATTGGAGGCAAGGAGAGGAGTTAAGACATACAAGCCGTTGGAGTGAGGAATAATAGAGGAACACAGGAAAGAGTAACCATGAGTAAATAATTTGTTTGAGTAAGGAAGAGGGAGAAGTTCCGGATAACAACCAGATTGCAGGCCGAGTGCAGTGGCTCACCTGTAATCCCAGCACTTTGGGAGGCTGAGGCGGGCAGATCACGAGGTCAGGAGTTCGAGACCAGCCTTGCCAATATGGTGAAACCCTATCTCTACGAAAAATACAAAAATTAGCTGGGTGTGGTGGCACGTGCCTGTAGTCCCAGCTACTTGGGAGTCTGAGGCAGAAGAATCGCTTGAACCCAGGAGGCGGAGGTTGCAGTGAGCCGAGATCGCGCCGCTGCACTCCAGCCTGGGCGACAGAGCAAGACTGTCTCAAAAAAAATAAAAATAAAATAAAAACAACCAGATTACAGTGTTACAGTGAGTTGAATAAATGGGAAGAAAAGCTTTTCTTCTAGAAGCTTCTTTTTTTTAATATGCAAAATACGTGAGCACTTTTAAGACTGAAAGAGAGATTAAAGATAGGAGAGTGTAATTAGTGGTGTGAGAGCTTCAGACATCTAATGTTGCTGGGAAATTCTTAGCTAGCCTTCCATATTGGTAGTTTACAAAGTGGTATACCTGAAGAGGAGTAAGCCAAGGAAGTGCTGAGACAAATGGTGGGTGGGGATATGTCAGAAGGACATGTGAATCAGCTTGAAGGAGCTCCCATTTACCGTATCTGGTGCTATTGAATATCAAAATAAAATGGATTATAAACCTATTGAATTAAATAAGAATCCATACTCAATAAATATGTAAATATATAGGGTGTAAAGAAAAGCTTCGGCTTACCATAGAATGTCAATTAATAAATTTGCAAGAATGAAAGAGTTATACAAATCATTTTGCACACATCACCATAATTGATTCAGGCAAGAATCATCACTAGCTAAAACTAGTGAGTGAATGTTCTGTGAGGAATACAGTATTTACATGGTCTGAAAGTATCTCCTCATAAATTATTTATTAATCACAAAGTAAAAAGTAACTTTACAGTGAAGAAACATCCCCGTACCCAAGTGATCAAGTTTAGTATTGCTAGTGATGGGACTTAGTGATACGCTGTACTTCCTAGTGTGATGCACTGAGCAGGATAAAATATCAGGCATACCCCAATTGAGGGACATTCTGTGAAACAGCTGACTTCTACTTTACAAAAGTGTTGGTGTCATAAAAGACAAAGGCTGAGAAACTATCTGTTCTAGATTAATGGATTAAAGAGTCATGCAAACAAAATACAGAGTATGATCTTAGATTAGATCCTAGACCAGAAAAAAGTTGCTAAAAAGGATGTTATTGGGAGAATTGGCAACATTCAAGGTCTGTAAATTAGATAATTGTGTATTTTCAGTATTAAATTTCCTGATTTTTAAAATTGTTCTGTGATAAAGTAAATATCTTTGCTCTTAGGAAGTTATATTCTGAAGTGTTTAGAAGTAAAAGGGTGTGTCTGTGACTTTTAAAAAGCTTGGGGAAAATAGAGTGATAAAGCAAATAGAACAAAAGGTTAACAATTGGTAAATCTGATCGAAGGATATAAAGGAAGGAGTTCTTTGTGCTGTTCTTACAAATCCTAAGCTTTGAATTAATTCAGAATTTAAAAATTATATATTAAATATTATATAGATATTTAAATAAAATATTAAAAGATATATTAAAATAGTTTATCGGTGAAATGATACTCAAGCATGTTCAAGCTAGCCTTGAAGAGTTTCAAAAGACCTCACCTCTCCTCACCCTGTTTAGTGTCATAATGATCAGTGGTGTGAGGTCAGTGAAGATCAGCTTCCTGAAGAGTATACTTTGAGTAATAGTCTTGTTTCTTGTTTTTATTTTAAAGGCTTGCTGGTCTTAGGTATTCTCTTTCAGATTCTGGGCTTCTTAGCTCATATTGTTAGTTTTCCATATGTCTGTTAATTTATAGGACCTATCCATGCTCACACTGGCAAATCTTTAATTCGGTAAATCATCAGTGCAGCAAATCTTCAAGTACCTGTCATGTGGGAGGAAGGTATACAGAACTGTAAATGGCATGCCCCAAAATATTCTTGATTACTTTCTTCCTCTCCTGTATTTCACATCCTGGCAGTCATCTCTCACTCTTAATTACTTTGAACCAATAACTTTTATTAATTCCCTTTTTTAAAAATAACTTTTACTTAGACATACTGAAGCTCTGAACACCTGCAGTATTGCAGAGGCCTCTAATGAGTTTCTCTGCTTCCAGTTGCATTGGCTACCAGTCTATCTGGAGTACAGAAACCATGACAGAGAAAGTATACGTTGTTACTTTCCTAATCCTCAGAACCATAAAAAAGAATAACATTAAAAGAAGAGAAAAGGAAACTTCATTTATACTGAAATTGGGGAATGTTCACAGTCCGGTATCAAGGAATTTTTCAAATAATATCTGCAAGATAAAGTGAAATTTGGACCAAATTATAAAGGATGTTAATTTGACATGTCTCCTCTTATCAAAGCATGAGACAGGGTACTAGAATTGGTAAGGAAATTCAGACCTACCGGTAGCAGACCACAGAAGAAATTTCTGGTGTTTAACTTGGAGTTTATCCCTTTACCTTGCAATAGTAGGAAAGGCAGGGTGGTTATAGTTATATATTTCATGTCAGATCTGGCCTTGTATCTTTGCTTTGATACTTGCTTGCTTGTGGTCCTGGGAAAATGACCTAACTTCTGTAAAGTTCAGTTTTATCTGTGATATTTGGATAGTAGTAGTGTTTACCTCACTGAGTTGCTAGTATCATTGTTAGCTTGGTAGTTAGCACATAGGAAATGTTCAGTAAATATTAGCTACTATTACTCCCTTGGAGGCTAACATAAGAATGAAGACCAGTGTTTTTTGTATTCTTTGGTGCATGTACTCATAAACCTATGATTTCTAAGATTCTTTTTTATTTCTCCTTTCTTATCCACAGAAGCCCAAAGCTCAGGTGCCTCTTTATTAATTTTAAAGCACAATCTTTGTAGTCTTCTAAGTAGAGATAATGCTTTTGAGTTTGTGAGTTCATGTTATGTTAGGACTTGTGAAATTAGATACTTTATATTAAACATGGTTTAGTCTTGATGCTTTTTTTTCGCTCATGGCATTAAAGTCATAATTGGCAAACTATCTTTCCTTGAATTTAAACTTTAAAAATTTTTTAAATTATGCAATTATATGTGCATAATGGCAAAAGTGCTAAATGTTAAAACATAATTTTGGAAGTATATGACATTGTAATGAAATTTAAACAGTACAAAGCAGGATGAAAAGGTAAAGTCTCACTTATACTCCTTATCCCACTGTCCAGTTTTTATTTGTTCTGGTGCTTATTTCTATGTCTCAGAATAATGAGCACTAAAATATATTTTTAACTTGTGACTTGTCACTTATTAACAGTTAATTTATCTCCATAAAATTATGAAATTTATTAAGTTTACTTCTTGCACTGCACCATACTCTGCTAGTCATATATACTTAGTTCTTCTGTTGGTAAACTTTGCATCATATACTTTACATAATATACTTAAACCTTTAATCTTGATCTATCATTTATACTGGTCAAGGTTTGTAGCATTTACATTTATGTTTGCTAATGATAATGTAGTCTGAGTTTTGCCTATAGCAGGGTTTGTAAACTGAGGCCTCTTATGGCAAGTCCAGCCCGTAGAGGTATTTTATTTGGCTCATGTTATATATATATATATGCAAGATAAAGTGAAATTTGGACCAAATTATAAAGGATGTTAATTTGACATGTCTCCTCTTATCAAAGCATGGGACAGGGTACTAGAATTGGTAAGGAAATTCAGACCTACCAGTAGCAGACCACAGAAGAAATTTCTGGTGTTTAACTTGGAGTTTATCCCTTTACCTTGCAATAGTAGGAAAGGCAGGGTGGTTATAGTTATATAT